TGAAAACATGGAAGCTGCTTGTAGTTTAAATAATTGTTGTTTTGATAATGGAATAATCAATTTAATAAAAAGTTGTGAAAAGATAATTAATTGATAGCAACTAATTTTATTTTACAAGTTCAATGTAAATACCAAGCTAAATATATCAGTCATTGTTATAGAAAAGTTTAAAAATATTGCACGATTACGTTGACTTGTAAAAATTGTTTCGTTATCTTTATTTAAATAAGATATTTATGAAGTCACAACAAAATAATGTACAATTTCAATTAATTTACAGTTTAACTCTAGGACCACCCTGATTCGTCGTGCACATAAGTGGACCAACACGCATTCCGCTTCCTCAAAACTTCACGGACTAATTATTAGAAATAAGACATAGTTTACAATCCGCATATCCTTTAAACACGTGCTGTGGCATTTTTTTCGTAAGCTAAATTCCACTAAATATTAATTTCGAACTATACAAAAAATACTAATTGCTTTTTGTGGAGCGGTCCGTTTTTGCGCGCCTGCTCGTTCGGTGTCGAGCAAATGTGGTCTTTGTCAGCGAAAAGTGTCAAATTACTTGGCACGAGATGGTAGATAAACATTAGGGCTGCTACCTCAATGGTTGTCTATATTAATATTACAAAAAGAAAAGATTTAATAGTTTGTTTGTTAGTTAGCTCAAAGATAACTTTTACTCTCTTAATCATAGGAATCATTCTCGTTATTTTAGCAGTTTTCCACGTGTGTGTATACTTTTTTGTTTAAATAGAACCAACGTGGTATAGCGGTTGGTAATAGTAGACGATGGTGTTATCAGAGATGAGCAGATGACTGAGAAGGATACATATCTTCGCTGTTATTGTCCCCTGAGCAGGCGAACAAAGCTTGGCGACAAAACTTACTTTATCTTCTCTCAGATTTTGTGGAGATCTTAAACAGTCATAAAGACATGTTCACGAAGTTTACGACAAAGTCTACCTTTTACCTCTATTGAAATTAGGGAGACCATTTTTATTACTTTACGAATTTTGCGAGAAATGATCAGCTTATATAGCTTGATATGGTCCGAATGTTAGCAAAAGAGTTGCTAAAATTCAGACTGTATCGAAACGTATGTAATTTGTCACATCGGAGAACAAAGCGTGCTCAATCATAATGGAACTGTTTGTGTTCACATTTCTTCTTATCTCACTCATGTAACATTTACCACAATCGTAAGGAATCATAAAGATGCACGAAACTCCCATTGAGGCCGTCTATTTGAATGCGCAGCCATCTCTCATTAAAACGTGTTTAAAAAAATTAACAAACTTTATAAAAGAATATTACTAAACAATATAATTATATTTAATGTTAATTAAATTATAATAAGTTTATTACTGTAATCATTTGGGAGAAACAATAAATAATATTTATCTATTTATCTTATTTTCAATATGTGTCTATTCATTTTTCTCATAATTTATATATTAATTTACTCGTGAGAAAGAACAAGATAAAAAAATTGGAATTCGCCAGAAATACCAAAATCTTAGGAAATTGTACAAAAAATAACTTATTATAATCCAATCCATTATAGCAATAAATATAAATTATGAAAATAACAATATTAATAAATTAAAATTTATAGGGCAGCCCTGTTCCATGAGGACGAGTTTTTGCCTGCAACCATTTTTAGTTTTTCGTAAAGATTTCGCTGTTAGATAATAAGGTTTTAATTGTTTTAAAATGTCATAAACGTCATGAATGTACAAACTAAACTCTACCTTCTTTGTCTACACTAAGGTTGAGAATCAATTTTTAACATACGAATGTTGTTCTGTTACTGATATTAAAAAGATATTGCTATGCAATAGCGAACTAAACGGAAAGCGGTAGATAAAATGCCGACAAGTTGGAGAAATATTTTGGAAATATTTTTGTAAGTGAAGCCGCGCGGCCGCCCCTGTGCGGAACACAGTTCATGAATAAGATGAGCGCACATTTTAAATACATAGACAAAAAAATTACTGCAGTGTTTTAAAAATATTTTAGGAATATTAAAGGAAAATCATTGATTGGCTATTGATAAGTAAAAGTTATAATAATCTTCGCTTACTATAATTTAACGATCTACTGCTAGGTCTCTTCCCATAAAAGAATGGCGGTAATCTATAAGGTTTTATTTTGAGTTTTCTTTCTGTTGAACTGATGTATTGTAGTCTGTTCACCAATAATGACTTTCTTGGAATGAAAGGTATATTGTAACATAATCCATAGCCACAGATAAATAAACACTACGAAAGCTTAATTTTTTTTTTAATAAGTCTAATTTTTAATAATGGAACATCAATCAACGCGCCTGGAAAATTTTTCAGTATTTTTTTTTATTGGTAGAAAATGGAATAGTAACCCCGCCTGCGTTTACGGGATACACTGGCGGGGCACCAGTGAAGGGTGATCGATGAGGATGAAAACAGGCCAGTTAGCCCATCATGATGAATTCATCATGATAGTTTCCAGGGAGAACCGCGAGGAGGTCGACCTGGTTGGGTATATTACTAGCTATGGGATTCTCAGTCTCCATTACTAACAATCCCTTTCCATCCGATTTTTCAGTATTAGTAGTAATTATTCTCATGGCATAACCGAGAACATTAAATTTTATTTTAATACTTTAAAGTAAATATAATTATGTGGGTAAAATGTATGTACAAATTAAAAAATGATATACATACCACTTTCCATCAGGTGGGCCGTCAGCTTGTTTGCCATTCTAAGTTGTATAAAAAATATATTTTTCTTTAATTTTTTTTTTTAAATCATGTGCGTTTCTCAGTTCTTCTATCATGCGAAGCATAATATTTTGATAATGTTTTAAATATCACATAACAATAAATAACAACAGTTTGAAATCCAACCAAGCGTTACACAATATCTTAAACTTATAAAGAAATTGCACCTTCATACTAGATTGCAGAAAGCATGCTTTTTATCTCCGATGGATTCCATTATTAAAACATCAACTAAACATCGAACATCGGTAGCAAAAAAGAATACACGAAGAATTCAATTTCGCGTAGTTTGTTAGTTGAAATTAGTTCAGGCGTGAATTTCTCATTCGAGGCAATAGAATATGGGATTGTTAAGGTTTTAGATTCAATCTGTCGGCAGTAGAATGTCTCATTGTAACACAACACCATGGCCGTAACAGTGTAGATTGTGTCTATGATAAGCAAGGATTTAAGGCTCGCACCATTTGGGGGCTACAGATTTACACCGAGCTTTTACTTATATTATTCCTTAAGGAAGTTGTTGTTTATGTTGAATGTATGAAAGAAGAGATTTAACGTCTCATACATCTGCGGCGGGCTTTATAGAGAGCGAATGTATAATAATTTGCAACCTTAATGGAAATGACAATGTATGAAAATAATCGACGTTTAAAAGTACATATTTATAACAATAGTAGTATTTAATAAATAAATATTACTGGACATGTTTATAGATATACATACATATAAGGGAAATTTTATGAACTTACTAGGTTTAGGTCGTTTCCGATAATTGTTAAGAATTGAACATAAATTTTAAAGATGAAGATGTTATCTATTTGTTTATTAAAATAAGTATAATGCTACTGGACATCCCTATTATACGGTACATATAGCGTTATTTAGTATTAAACGAAACAGAACTTCTATTGAGATGGAAAGTAGTTGTAATAATTAGGTATACCCATTCCTTGTTGTGAAGAATACGATAAGTTATCACTCTCTTCCTCAAAATATTAATATAAATATATATTAATAAAATATAAATAAATTAAAGATAATTAAGGTAGGTCGTAAAAATTTCAACATTTTAGAAACTAAAAGAATTGATGCTTTGTATTATTAGACCATATGAACAATACAATTTATAATACATATGTTACGTGCATATTTTGAAAATTTCCTAAATCTCTAATATTTGTTTTGTTAATAACAATAGTTCCATTAATACCATCATTTGATTTACCAGCAACATCTCTTTTATCCGTATATATATTTGCACAATATCATAATCTTGTCACGGTACACTTGACACCAATAACGGCCTATTCATCAAGGATTACTTGGAGATGTTTATCAATATTCCCTTACAAATATTTTGCCTCGGCAAACAATGTTTGGAACATGTTGCGTGACAATGACGACATAATATTTGTATAAAGATTACCTACAGATAGAAATTCTCATTGTGTAACATCTTAATGCAAAATTTTGCATGATATTCAATTTAGAGATATTGTATAGAATGGAGCTTTGCGTCAGTATTCCAAAAAAAGGTTTATAAAATCAAAATCCGCATGATATATGAATAAATGAAATATGTTCTACTCGTATGTATGTACATAGAAAAAATACATCGATTAGAAAAATGCTAAAAAAGAAAACTTAATTATATTAAGTGTGTATACATTTGTATAATAATTAGCAACCGTGTCACTTCCCAAGTTAACCCGATTGAGAATCATATTTCCGTCCTTTAGGTACAAAAAGAAATATCGTTATTTCCAATTTACTTATAGTTTTATTAAAAAAAATTCACTTAATAAATATAATGAAAATATAATGAAAATTCAGTGTAATAAATCTATTATTTTTAATGGTAATAAATAAATAATAAATTGTTAAAATATCTATTAGATTGATTAATCAAATAATTAAGATGAAATATTATATATGCAGTACACTTAAGCGTATACCAGAAACTAAACAGATTAAATTACCATTTTAAATTCTAACAAAAAAAATATATACAGTTTTAATACAATTAAACCAAATACAAGTTCTATACAGTTCAGTGATTCAGAAATTACTCCTGAGATGCACGGATAAAACGTCTAATGGTAAGTCGTCGACAAACCAGACTGTGATCAGATAACAAGGTAATAGCTGATGAGATCTGCCTACCCCCTCGTCAACGTAACCAACACCAGATTAAAGATAAATAAAAAAAAGTGTGGTGTGTTTCGGTCCTTAGAGAAGATATATTGAGGATGTTGATGTGTAAGTAATTATCACGGATAGCTCGAGTCATTTCGGTGTTTCATTCGAAATAAATAATAACCTACGAATATTTCTGTAAATTAACAGTAGTCTAGAAAAAAAGTTGAGTTAATATTTTTTCTATTCCATACATATATAGACTCTTTGTTGTTTCCTCCAAAAGATTACAGTAGTAAACCTATTATAGATACAAACAATTACAAAAAACGTTCACACTGAGAAAACAATAGGCGGCCTTATCGCTAAAAGCGGTCTCTTCCAGGCAACCTTTGAATGGAGAGGAGTATTTATAAATAGTTTGATCCGAGACATGATAAAAAAAATCTGTTATTTTTAAATATATATAGAGATGTAATACACACAATAATGTATATATATTACTTGGTAAACAAGCTGAGAGTTTCTAATATGGTGAAAATCAATGTAAAAAAAAAAGCTAATCTATGCATCTGTTTTCATTGTGATCATAGATTAAGAAAAGCACCCGTGGTCCCATTACGATGTGGTAACCAACACGCCGATTAGAAATTGACATTTAATAAAATAAATTCTCTATCTAATCTGTATGGTGATGGTGTAAGAATGTAATATGTCGCTATTCTCTCTTCTTTCTATTTTTATCCCCAAAATGTTGTAAAAATCGACTAATAAAATACACAACAAACTATTATAAGAGAAATTTCAAAACAAAATCATTAAGTACATTTAGTTTCTTTATAAATGCGTTAGTAGAAAGCTATAACTTGTTTTGATAAGATAAGGAGGGAATAATGTAAGTGTCCTTGAATATTGTGATAAGACATAAGGTAATGGAACTCCTTACTGAAAAAGTTAACGGTGGAAATGAAAAATGGCGAAAGTTTAAAATAAAAAAAAAAGATAAAAATTCCAAAAAGAAATAAATGATGAGTCCTAGTTTTTTAACCAATGAATGAGTAGGTATACTTTATTTGCATTATACAATATAGGGAATAAGCAAGCCAATTAATAAATGTAATGATACAACAGCTTTTTGTATAAATACAGCACGACAGTCTTATTGCTAAAAGTAATCTTTTTAAGACAACCTTAGGGGGAAAATATTTTAAGTGAGAATTAATCAGTCATTATATCATGGGGAAGACGTGGGATGTTTTTGAATAATTCTCCGCTTTAGATGCGTGGGCGCAATACATACGAAATTAAACACGAGAGGTATCTGTCATCATTCGTCTCACGAACCTCCCCCGCGGTGGATGATATATCGATACGTAACAGGAAGCCGGGGTTATGTGGACACGTTCGTATTAAACTCGAGCAAACAAAAACGACAGTGACAAACTGACAAACTTGTTCGTTGATGATATACGGGATTATCGAAATGAGGGTGCGAACAAAAACATTAGTTTTTAAATATTTAGTGATTTTAACGACTCTTCTAATAAAGTGCAACTAGAGGATTTATACAAATTTTAAAAAATGTGAAAGCTTTGGGTCACGTAACTACAAACTGACTTGTGTTGCTATGGTTTTAGTACAAACTAGTGTTTTGCCCTCTACTTCATATGCGTGGATTTCAGAAGTAGGTAGTAGTACCCAATAATATAGACTTCTGGACAACGTATAAAGATGAACCATAAATCAATTTTTAAGTTGGATCTTCAAGAATACAACTGTGAACACTGCTTTGAATTTAATCTAGAAATTTTTGCGTGATGCTGGAACAAACAGGTTATGGAATGAGCTCTTTGTCGAAGTTATTCCAAGAGATTACAGCAAGGGGTTCTTTAAAAAAGCCGTAAAGAGGTTCCTTCAGGGTCAGCAACGCGCGCCTAATGACCCTGGTACTTTAGACGTCCATAGCCTATGGTAACCGCTTACAATCAGATAGACAGTATGCTTATTTGCTACCTTAGTGGTATAAAAAAAAATAGACATTTAGATAAAAATTCTAAAATTTATTATATTTGTCTTATTAAGATCTCTCATGTTAAATGTCGATCCGTCCATTAGTTTTTGCGTGAAATAAATAAAAATATATAAAAAGAGGTAATAAATATCAATCCATTCATTCATCCAACCATCCATACAAACTTTCGCATTTATAATAATTATATTCTATTGTACACATAATATTAAAATATGTATTCCGAAAACTACGATTGATTAGAATGCCTACCTGGCGTCCATTGTCTTTTAAATTGACGCATTTGTAAACAAAAACAAGCGATAGCATTCGGCGCACGTGTCGATCGAAAGCACGATAACATTGTCCCGGGATAGTTCCCTGAGGAATGCCGGGCAATATGGCTATAAGTTCCTATTATGACGTCTACGCGGCAGTATTTTAAATGTAATATTAAATGGCATTCCATTGTATTATGATGGATTGTGACATGAATTTGTAAACAATAGTAAAATATAATATTGATTGATTACGTCATTCAGTTGGTACCTGTAGAAATGCAATTGTTTCTCTTGTGAAACTATCATTCACTGCAGTTTTTCTGCACGATTCCTTATTTGAAATTTTATCACGCAGCTAGACTACACTGTCTGAGTAAAAAACTCCAAGCGCTCTAGAGCTCTGACTTTAATTTATTTAATTGCGCTGTTGTTACTGATGGGATACCAATAAGAGATAATAGGTGAAGATGAAGTCAAATCCACTGGTCCTTCGTGATGAATTTATCAGGAAATAATAATGATGATTTCCAACAGAGGGTGCAGGTAGATTTGACAGGGCATATTGTTAGCAATAAGAAGACAGTTTAGTTTCCTGTTTTCGATTTTTTTTTTATATAGTAGAACTACTTCTCTGGCAAATTTTCGTGAAAAAAAAACATTAATGTAAATATGTACTTTTTCAAATCTTATTACCTACTATTATATTATTTTAACCTTATTTGTATTTAAAAATTAAAATAGAAAAAAAAACAAAACAGTAATAAAACAATAAAATATTAATAATAAGAATTATAACATACTCATTTACTTTCTTGGTGTCAAATATATCATTATTACTTATAATAATATTAGTAAATAACAAATGCCTTCTAAAGCTCGTCTAACGACGAATTCAAAATCAAATCATGTAACACGGAATATCTAAAAGCAGAATTATCTCGACATTAGTAAAAAATCCGGTAAAAAATGGTGGTGAAGAACTCGGGACCAACTATTATCTTGAACACCAAAGTCATTTTAGCTATAATAAGATAACATTAAGGGAGGAAGGCTGGCAGAGGTTCTCAAACCTTTGACCTTATATCACGATAAGAAACTTTTGTAATATACCAAGAAAATATCTTGTAACAAAAATTAGATACGTATCCGTACATTCTACCATTATAATTAATAAGGCAATAAAGATATAGGTATGGATTATTACTTAATCACACTAAAACATCTAAACAGATTTGAATAAAGAACACCAGGATGGACCAGATCAAAACTAAATTGATAGATAAATTAATTAAAATTCATAGACAAATTGTTTTGTGTTTTTTATCTTATACTTACATATAACTTCTGCACTATATTACACTAAAGATTAATACATTGAAGAATTACACAATATATCAATTACTTTTATACATTTTAGTTTTTTACACATTTATTTTTCAATTAGATATTTATTACATTCCTTTTTGCTAGTATAGTTTAGTAAAGTTTGAGAAGTCTACCCCCTGAAGAGCGTGTCAGCGGACCTGTCGCTCTCCAGAAAGGAACAGGTATAGTTTTTTCGTTTTCGTTTTTGCGGGCGCGCACGTGTGCGAGCCCCCTTAATTACCGACGCATACCATAAACAGATCTTTACGCTCCCTTAAATAAATCTTCGTGAAATAATAAAAAAAGTTCGTTTTCTTGTTTTCTTAGGCCCGTAATTTTGGAGCACGGTTTTCGGTTTACCAAGAGCCAACGGTCCGATTCGATGATCGATGATGACTCTTTGTTTTTACAGGTTTATCGATAAATCGATTTAAAATTCATTAACAAGTATTTGAATAAGATTTTTTTTTATTTTACATAAAAGTTAAGCATCTCATCAAGAACTGTATTTTATTTTTGTAATAAAATAATAAAAATATTATTTATAAGCATTTTGAAGTAATTTCTTATAATTTTATCTACCGTTCATTTAGAATGCAACTAAATGAGAGTCGATAGATAGAGATATAGAGTCGATGTAATAGTATATAGTACATAACAGGCGAGTGGTAAGCCCTAGACACATTATGGTCGAACGCACCCAGTTCGACTATTCTACCGCCTCCCCAAAGTCACTCCATTTCATTGAGCATCCATTTGTATGTGCGAATTAAGGCCATAGGGGATTAAAAAGGTATTAAGGTATGTATTACGCATCATCAATATATCAGCCTTTAACTGCTTATTGCTGAACATAAGCCTCCCCTTGGGGGATTTTGCCAGTAGTTGCTACGCTTGGCAAGCGGATTAGCAACTGCAGTTAGGCTTTAGAGATGTTTTAATAGAGACGCTGCTGCTCATCCCTCGCCCTCCCTTAGTCGACTCTTACGACACCCACGGGAAAGGAAAGGGTGGCCTATTGTATGCCAGGACCGCACAGCAATTTCACGCATAGTTAGATATAACTTCAATATTTTAAATGACTAATAATGACTAAAATTTAGTTTTAATCGCTAGATTATATGAAATATGTATTAGTATTGTATATTTCAAATACTTGTATTTAATTGTAATGTATAGAATTTTAAATCGATTTATCGATAAACCTGTAAATAATGATTTATAAATTATGTAAACATTTATTATTGTTGTTTAGATTTCTGTTTTACACTACTGCTGCCCACTCACTACTTCCTATGCCACTGTATTAGATTGATTGTAAAAGATTTCTATTAGAGATAAGTTCACTTTTGCTTATATTTCTAATTGTTACTATTACTGTATGTTTTAGTGCGATAAAGAATATTAATAAATCGTACTAATATACGTGTAAGACAGTTTCTTTTCAAATATTTAAACATTTGGCAATGACTGAAAATTACTTGGAAGTGCTTCTATTATTAGTTTTTCTTGGCTAATAAAATTTCAACAATTTTCTATTGACTTCAAAGAGAAAATCTTAAATTATTATTTTGCATACTCGTATTAATCGATTTTGATGATTTGTTTTTCAATCGATAGAATTTACTCCCTGTTTCATACAAATTTTATTACAATTGAAGTTTTATTTTTTGTAAAATCTTAATAATTATGGAGATTAAGATGCCTTACCAGACAACTAGCTTTGCATATTTCACGCCCAGCACCACCGCGCCCTTAAGCCGACACTGATCTCAGATAAGCCCCCTTTCCCCGTTTTATAGTAGTGTTAAACGATATTTTATTATCAGAACGATAAAATTGCTCCACGAACGCACAGTATTTTATCTTTGTGAATCTTTTTTATTTGGCACTTTATCACTATTATTTAGGGGCATGATAAAACGCTAAAACATCCTTAGTTTATGTTACGCCCCGCGTGGGTTTGGGGTTTTGTTACTCAAATGGTTTGTCTCTTGGTTTATTTGGTTTGTCGAAGGATAACTAATGTCGGATAAACTTGCCACACAGTGACAGCGAACGAAGAATGCGTGTTACTTTTATTTTAAAATTATACTGATATTAAGATGGAGGTTTGTTACATATTATAATATGTACACTTACTACTCGAACTATATCTTACTAATATAATAAAATCTTAACTAGACGATGACTGTACATAAGAGGTATTTAGAAAAAGTTATATTTAGGATCTTAACTAAATCAATAGCTGCTAAAATAATGTTTTTAAAAATTTTGTCTTTCTGACTATCTGTCTGTATGTTTGCTCTATCTTCACGCAAAAACTACTGCAACAAATTAGATGAAGTTTTGTTCCTAAATGTCAAATTTAAAACACGGTATATATTTTATCTTAATATGCTATTTAGGAGTAATCTATTTTATTAGTTATTCTACTTCTAAAATCTACTTATACGAAGTAGCTAGCTAAAAGCTAGTAAATAATAGATTCTTCGTTTAAATTTGTTTCCAAATTTCGACGTACTTTCTCCGCAGATATGCAATAAATAGTGGCCAATTACATTATGGAACTACAGACATGATAAAAAAATAATTATGTGTTTATTAATTTTTTATCATGTCTGTAGTAATATATAGACCCTGCAGGTCTTAAGGAGATCAATACATGCTAAAATAATGTTTTTTCAAATTTCGTCCTTCTGTCCATCTGTCTGTATGTTTGCTCCAGCATCACGCAATAACTGTTGCCACAAATTAGATGTGGTTTTCATGGTTGTGTTTCTGAATGTCTAATTTAAAATATGGTGTATGTTTTATCTTAATATGCTATCTAGAAGTAATCTATTTCATTAGTTTTCCTACTTCTAAAATCTACTTGTACGAAGTAGCTAGCTAAAAGCTCGTAAATAATAGACTCTACGTTTAAATTTGTTTCCAAATTTCGACGTACTTTCTCTGCAGATATACAATAAATAGTGGCCAATTACATTATGGAACTAGAGACATGATAAAAAATTAATTATGTGTTTATTAATTTTATTGCACTAGAACCCTTTTCTGTACAGTTTAATTATAAAAATATAAGCTTACAGTGTAACTAATAATTTACACTGAGTAACTTAACTTAACTGTCTGTACAAGGCCTCCCATACATTTTAATATTCCCATACATGTTGAAAGTTTCTTAGTTATACTCTTAGGTGATTGCTTAATGGGAGTGGAAACCAATTGTAAATATAAAATTTAAAGTATATCCATACTATTTTACACATTTGATGTCATAGGCAAGTCCCATCTTCACTCATTGACTTTCTATCATTTTTCATTAACCATAGTCGCTCAGAGTTCAGGCTCTTAATTATGATAGCGATGCAAATTAGTATTATTTCTTGAAATCTTTGTTTAAAATTAAAATAAGTATAATAACACAGTGCAATATAAATTAAATAAGTGCAACAGCGTATTTACATGAAATTTCTCTCTATTTTCAAAAATAATAGGTATGTATCAATCGTAATTAGGAAGAAATACTAGTGTTTTGCACGTCCATATAATAGAAATTGTAATTTAAGCTCCATATAGGTAGAAAATTATCCCGTATATTTTATACTTATTCTCTAAAATTACGTTATGAAGTGAGACTAATCATTATAAAATTTAAATGATACGATAGTTAGTGATAATGATGATAAATACCTATAATACAGAATTCACATTTTCTATTCTCTGAATATTAACACAATAATACCCTTGAACAAATGAGAAAATATTTTTTCAAAATATTATTTTCAAATAACGAAGAAACCTAACATTAGAAATTACATCACGAAATTATGTAATTTCATGCATGGTGCAATAAACCATGCACGGTGTCCACAACACTAGATTCGTTTTAGTTGGTGTGTAGATTATTTATATTTATTTCTTAACATAAATTTACATTTTACTAATAAAGCTTTAAATTAAAGCATTTGCGATACTAGTTTCACATCATGTTTACACGATGAAATTAGTTGCATGAGATTAGTTATTAAATCATGCAAAACACAAATTTGACTTATATTTGTAAAATTAATGCATGCATTATTAAATTAGAAGTTTCCGCTTGAAATCGTTGACGAAATCAATATAGTAGAACAAGTAAATCAATATATTTAATTAGTGTCATAACTTAAAGTATAATTTATGTCCCTGATATTTTAAAAAGCTAGTGTTTTCTTTTTTGTAATAATAAGTGTAGTTTTTTTAATATTTATAGATGATGATAGAATGGTAACCCCGTTTGCACTATCGGTATACGCCTGGGTACCAGTGAGAAATGATAGATGAAAATGAAACAAGTCAGGTGGTCCACCGATGAATTCATCAAAAATTAACCACTATGGGTTCCAGGAGGAACCGCGTGGAGGTTGGCCTATTAGAGTATATTGCTAGTAATGGGCCAGTTACATTTCATTACTAACTTCTCTTACACTTCCCCCCAGTAAGTATAGTTAAGCGGTTTGCTTATTCATAAGTATATATTTAGTTATTTGGTTTAATTAAATAGGTGCCTGCTTAATTAAGCCAATGGTACACGCTAATATTATACTTTTAATATTAATATTTTAAAATATTTTGCACATTTGATATTTTTAGTTAAAATAAAATAAAAAAAATGTACCTTGTGATGATGTAAACATAATAAATAGTAGAACTAATGGTCGGCAATAAGTGAAATTCTCTATAAATGGTCTCCGAACATAATTGTAGCACACCGCGCGGGCCTTTTTTTTACTACAGTAATTTAGCATCATTAAGACAAATCAACTTGAACGACGCCAATCATCTATAATGAGGTGTTCCGCCGTTGCATTAGCGAAAAAAGGTGTTATATTCGAGAATTTTAAGCCTTGTTGGTGTATTAAAATCTCATGTGAAGTAAAGGGTAGGGTATATAATTTGCAGTCGAAAACGTCGTTTAGTACCGCATGATTATAGTGCACAACGAGAAGCTGGATATTGTGAAAAAGCAAATTAATCATGTTGAATAATTCGGGTATAGGTTAAGTTGGTGCCTCGGTAAGTAAAAGCGGCAAACAGTAGCTTTCTCCAATATAAGTACGTTAAATTAAATTTGTAGGCATTAAGTATTAGGCATTAAGTAATGCAAATGATTTTTCTCATGTGATATTTAATGAGAATAATGCGTCCAGTAATCCTATAAGTAATTATAATTATCTACATTATCTACTTATTCTATTTTTAAATATTAACGTAATGTTTTTCTAGGTCTACAATAACTTTTTAATGATACTTAGAATAGCAAATAAGCAGATTGATTACATGGAAAGTAACCGTCGGTTATAAACATGGCCAGCCCCATCCACATCGCAGAACAAACTGCGATGCATTGATTGAGGACTATAATGCTATTTTTTATTTATAACTCTCTAGCTATCATAATCAGTCGACAGTGTAAAAATTGTCTCATATAAGTACGTTAGTTACTTCAACAAGCGAAACCACAGATTCGCAAAGTTTATTTATTTTTTCTTTTGTAGATATAATAATAATAATATCAAACTCTTTATTACGCACCAAAGAGATGTATACAAGGAGTATTTATACAGAATGTGCATAGAGTAGTAAACAAGCTCCACAATAGACACAAAACTGACCCCCCCCCCCCCTGGGTGGGTCAGAAACTGGATACGGTCATGGTTAGGGCTCTATGTATCTAAATATATCCAATTTATTTTTAGTAGGTGCACTTGATGCGCTGAACACCTCAGTAGTAGTTAATTGTAGTAATCTTAATCTTTAAACCCTTTTCAACCGATTGATTGCCGGTTAACATAAGAATAGGGTTAATTTACCGTATAAAAAGGGGCCATATTTTACCAGATTGCATTAGAATCTTTATTGAAGTGTTAATTTCCTAAGATTATATGATACCCGATTATCTGCTACATTTTGCTGTACAAGGCAAGATCATTATTATTATTTTTAGTGTATTATACCAAATATTTTTCCCAAAGAAAAATCGCTCAAAAAATCTGAACCGCCTAACTAAGACGACACGACCGACTTGTTTAGATGTCATTTTAGTATAGAAGTCTCAAATAATTTTTCAACCATGTCTTTAAAAAAAAAATATTTATGTATATTATATCGAAGTGTGTATGTGATGATCTCAAAATTAAGTTTGATACCGCTAAGAAGCCTTGACAGATTAATCGATCAATATGAAATTTGGTATAAGTAGCTATACTAAAATGATGAAAGACATAGGGACTTTTTGTTCCGGTCTGTGATCATATACTGGACACGCGTATGTATAGGATCACGCGTAAATGCTAGTAACACATGAATCCTTAAAGGGATGTTAATACTTCAAAAGTACCTACTCTTTTTCTTAATAATGAGCATGTAGCACGCATATACATATTAAATTATTTGCAATTGCCATTTTTTTTCTCCGAGTACAGCGGTACAATGGCATATAACTACTAGATCCCGATTGTAATAATTATACTAAATTAAAATGGAATCTATTTCTTGCACCACGAGCGCATTAGTCGCCCTGGTTGATGACCATAATTGCTTCTAAATTTATTGAAGCGACTGGAACAAAAAGTCGGCGTTTGACTAAACAATTACTGTATAATTGATATTAACTGGCGTGTTGGCTGTCAGGCACCAAACAAGTAATAACATTTCTCGACGTAAGTACTTATCCTTCATCATATCAGCTTTTAACTAATGCTGAACATAATCCTTCCTCTAGGGGAGTTTTGCCAGTAGTTGCCACGCTTGACAGGTAGATTGGCAACTGCAGTTTAGGCTTTGGAGATGTTTTAAGAGGGAAGGTGCCTATCCCTCATCCTACCTTAGTCACCTCTTATGACACCCACGGAACAGCCAAAGGTGGTCTTTTCTATAAATATTTATTCTTACTAATATCTATTATAAATCTAAATGTGAATTTACCTGTCTGTATGGCTATTCGTTTATCCACCTATCCATACATCAGTCAAAGATCTAGTATGTAAACTGCATTTTGTTATGGGATTGGCACAACTATGTTGATGATTTTAGTTGCAGGTAAAATGTAGTATAATTTTATCATTTAAAGATTATATTGGATAATGAAATTATAGCTTTAAGTATTACAATAAATAATAATGTTTGCTTAATTTAATAATGTTGTTTTAATGGGTGATAATAATATGGTAACCCCGCCTACGCTATCGGTATACTCTGGCGGGGCACCAATGGAAGATGATAGATGAGGATGCAAGTAAGTCAGTTAGTCCATCCTGATGAATTCAACTAGAATTGACCTCGATGGTTTCCAGGGAGAACCACGTGGAGGTCGGCCTGACAGTGTACATTGCTAGTAATGGGACTATTTGACCCCATTACTAACAATCCCTCTCCCGCCGCTGCCTCCTCGTTAGCCCCCGACGTTAAAGATAAATTCACGTGTACCAAGTAGCGGGCAAAAAGCTACTCAGTTATAAAATTATAATAATTAATAGATGTATGAATATTTAATAATAAAAAGATGAATCGAATAGTTTCAACGAGTTCAAGAGTGAATCATGTCCGTCAACTGTCTTTTACCGTGACGTACTGGAGCCAATATCAAATAGAATTAGAAAAACATTTCAATCCTTATTAAGGAAACTGCTATCAAACGCATAAAGGATTCGTTCAGTTAATAAGATTTTATCTGCATCAACTAAGAATTACCTGGTACTTCTAATAAATTAACAAGCTTATATAAATAAAGATGTTTTTCTTACAAACGTCTTATTTCCGCCAAACATACATCATTGAACATAGGGACTAGGCATTCATAAAACAAAATCTTATGTTACATGTACTGTAGATATAAAAAATATTCTTTTAAATATAGATCTTATAATAAATACTCCCTCCAAAATACTTGTCGCAAAATCATGTCGTTGTATAATGTAATATAATTGTATAATTGGCAATTAGCTTGTGCCCTTTTCCATTCAAATACTACAGTATAGCAAATTATATGACGTTTATTTAAGATATTAGGATCTTGTATGTTTATAATATTAGCATACATTAAACATTATTAGGAATAAGTACCCAACAATAATAATGGCTTTATAACGACATAAACAATATTAAAGTAAACAAATGTCGCACAGTGATCCCATGAGCACTAGAGGGGGTAACGGCCGGCTCGCGACAGTCACGAGTCAGAATTACTATTAGACGCAATTACCTACAGCGCGTGCGCATACTGGTATAAGTGTTAAGCGACCAGAGAATATAATAGTAAAATAAGGTAACATAATTAAGAATATTAAGCTAAAAAAAATAGCAAGAAAACCCAAATTCATTATTTATACTGAGAAGTAATCCCATTCAAGACTAGCTCACTGAGGAACAGCTGAGGTAGTATGGCCATTTTATAAGATAACCAGGTAATCATATTACCAAAAAAGTCCTTAACTTAAGATCCAGGTCTAAAGTGTTGAGGAAATCTCTAATGACTTAGCAATCTGTCATCAACATCACTGAAGAAAACCCAAGTAAACAACAACCTAAGACAGAAGAGTCAATTTCAAATGAAAAAGATTTAAAAAGCTAGGCAAATATACGTGATATTCGTCCATCTGTTATATCATCTTCATATGACGAGCCGTTTGCAACGAAATCTAGAAAAAATGTTACTACTTTGCTTATTTTAGTTAAATCTGTAAATATATTTCAATTTATAAATTTTCAAAATATCCTCTAGATGAAATTAATCATATAATATTTTGATGCGAGGCACTTAGTCTTATAGCAATCTATGTGTAGAGTATACCTATATTCAGTAGTGGAAACTTAATCCTTAAAGTGATGATATTGAACGAATCTTTAGTCCATCCTCTGTAGAAATTATTTGTCATTTACATGATCATGATACAGACCAATTAAAAATTATTTGTCAGGTACTTTTATCGTAAAAAATCCCGAATTTTAGTTCTCTTTTATATAGAAATTATGTCATGTTCTGTTGTCTGTTATTTAACGTGCTCTTGTACTAGTGGTACGCGCAGACTTCGCACGGTTTTTTGAAAATAAAAAACAGTCTAAATTACTGTTTGATAATGTAGTTTTCTATAGGTGAATGATTTTTATAAATTGGTTAAGTAGTTTTTGAATTAATCTATTGAAAACAAACATAAAAAAATCATATCTTTCCTCTTTAAAATACTAGTTTAGATAAAATCGCTCTAAATTTCATACTTGTACCACAATATTGAGAGCACCCACAAATTGCTTGAATTACGCGTCCGTTGCACTTAACCATTTATTTATTGGCTGTTTTATTACTAGTTGCGTACTAATGGTGCTCAAATGGAGCGATCTCAGCAATTAACAGACGCTTCTGAGGATCGACGCGGTACACTTTGAAGAACACGAACAGTTCGTTTGTGGTTTTGTTTTTCTATAGTTTTATCTATTTAC